CAGGTCAACTCACATGACACCATGGGGCCCTCCCTGGCTCCCTGATCTCAGAGGCTCCGGGGGAGACAGTGGGGAGACGGCTGGCTGGCAGCCGGGCTGGGCATGGGCTCTGGGGTTTGAATGGGGCGGATTCCCTCCCCTCCCCGAGCTTCAGTTCCATGTGTGAATCAGGGATGATAGCCTCCGGGGCTGCTCTGAGGATGGAGGCCAGCGTGTCAGGCACTGACTGGAGGCCTGACCCCCTCCCCGGCCAAATCTGAAGATATTCTGGGAAGGACCGTTTCTCCCGCAAACATCCCCTCCTCCTGGCTGTCCTCTGGGACACAGCCGGCCTCTGAGCCCTCCATTTGGATGGAGGCCTCTTTCTCCCTCCGCTTCCCTCTCCCCCGGCCTGGACTGAGGTTCTGGGCTGCTTCTTCCTCCAGGGGACTCCTCACTGGGACTCAGACTGCCTCCCTCTCTCCGCCTGGCTCTCCCCAGACAAGAGCACAGGCTGTGGTCCGTCTTCCTTTTCCTACCAACCCAGCCCCCTGGCTGGGAGAAGGCAGGCTGGTGGGGCCGGGTGTGAAGCATCCACAGGAGATGCTCATGGCCCCGGCGCTCTGAGCCGCTCTCACGGAGCCCTGCTGGCTGCCCCGCTGCACACGGCTCCCAGAACGGTGGCTCAGAAGGCAAGTGGTTTGGATGCCACACACCAGGCCTCTCAAAGCCACGGACCCCCCTCCTTTGATCAGGGAGCTGCCGCTCAGCGAGGACCTGGCTGTGTCCTCTCGGGATGGCTGTGGAAGAGGCTGAGCTCTTTCCTGGCAGAGAAATGGAGTCTGGGAGGCCCTGCGGCTTCGAGCCCTCCCCAGCAGATAAGACTCCAAGACAATAAAGATTGTGATCTGACGATGTTCCTCTGCGCTAATGAGCTTTCCTAGCGAAACGGTGCAGATAAATGTGGACGGGAATGGACTTGATACAAATAAATGGAAATATTATGTTTCTCCAGATAAAAATAGATCAAATGGCACGAGGACAGAAATAGGCGGAATGGTCACGTAAACTGTCCGAGGTCAGCTGACATTCTCTCCCCAGGCCGTCCTAATAGTTTTGTTGCCAGGGCTACAGTGTTTTTGCCATATCGGAGCAGGCCTGTCAGCGCTAATGGAGATGAAGCAGCGTTCCCAATAGGATTTTTAAAAATAAGCATCGGCTAATAGTGCTGGCCTGCGGAGCCATGTTCACGAAGAACGGAAAGATCTCGAAAGATGTTTTCAGATTGGAGAACTAATAGAATTTGAAGTTCAGCAGACAAGTTCTGTTCCACAGGTTTTCCAACACAAGCTCGTATCATGGTTACCTCGAACAAAATAACTTGAAATGTAATTTCATACATTCAATAAAAAAAGAAATATAAACTGTTTACACATTAAGCCAGAACATTAATTCCCCAGAGAATAACTGAGGTTACTTAACGAACAATTCTTCCGATTCCTTGGAAAACTGCGTGTCACAGCTGCTCACAAGCTCACCCCTGACTTATCCTTAAACAACGCAGGGAAGGTCCAGGAGCGAGTCTCCTACCTTCTGGTTCTGCCCACGCCCACGTGCTGCTCAGCCCTCTGAGGAAGCGTAAGCAGCCAGGTGCCCCAAACGTCAGTAAAGAAAAGCCAGTTTGCTCTGGACACACGAAGCATGAGCATGGAGTGAAATGATTCATGTGAAAGAACAGATGCTGCACTTCCCCCTGACATGTTTGTTTTTGTAGCCGGAAATCTCAATGTTAATGTTAAGAAAAACTGATAGTCTTTAGCATCAAAAGAAATTCATCCTAAGATGAATATTACACTAGTGACATCTGGTGGAGAATACTGGTGTCACAGTGTAGAATTATACAGCTATTCTGATCTTGTGTATACCATATTTTCAGGCACATAAGACGACGTTTGAAACGAGAAAGTCAACCGAAAATCAGGGGCAAAAGACCAAAATCGCATAAAAATTACCTGCAGATCTTGACGGCAAAGTAAGTCTTTTCTATACAGCGAATATAGGCCTAAACCTGTTTTAACTATAAAATTAGGGGGTCATCTTATATGCCGGAAAATACGGGTAATAAAATTAAGATACATTTTAACAGACTACGCAATAAAATAAAGTAAAAAAAAAATTAAATGTCTAGTGGACACCAGCATTATGAAGCTAATAACTGTTGGGTCTGTATTCTAAAGTGTACAGGAGGGTAATGAACCTGAGAAACGCGAATGCATCCTAATATAACGCTGCTCGGCCCCCGTGTTTACAGTGACTGAAAGTGGAGGCACAGAGCCTTCATGCTGGTTCGTCTCTCCATGCGCCGTGGCCCAGGAACCTCCCTGAGGTCTGCAGGTGGGAGTCCTTGAACAGCAGCAATGTGTCAGGGAGGACCTCCAACTTGAGACATGGATGGAGGCAGCGGGGGATGTTTGAAATGATGAGCCTTACACATCAGGAATCACACTCTGAGCCAGGTGGGGGTGGATACTTGTGACCCGAAGAGCCAATGGGATGGGTCACAGGTCCGAGGCACAGCCCACGGCCAGGCCAGCCCTGTGTGCGCGTCACTGCTCGCAGCCCAGGCACCTGGTAGCTCTCTCAGTTACCAGATCGACTGTGGAGGGACACAGTGCGGTGCTCAGGGCACCCTCCTTTACTTCATGGCCCCATGCACAAGGGTAGAGAGGCTGCCAATTCAGAAATGCCCGAGAAACCATTGAGTGTCTCCTCAAGGGCAAAGGTAGTAGGTGTGGGCAAAACCAGTGTGCATAGGCTGAGGTATACCCAGCTTCAGGAGTCCACTGGTGATCTTGGAATGATGGTATTATCCCGTGGATAAGGGCTGGCGACCCCATGGCAAGGGCTTTCTTGTGCCAACTAGGGTGTGGGGCCTCAGGATGCAGAGTGAGTCTTAAAGATGAGGTTCCAGCCCTGACTGGTGTGGCTCAGTGCTCATCCACCAGTGTCTGAGGCACTGCCAGGGCCGGCTGGAGGGGGTACAAGCCCACGTGCCTGCACAGTCTCAGTTGTCACCTGGCCCTTCACAGAGATAGTACACAGCCCAGATCTGAGATCCCTTCAGTCAGATTTCTGTCTCCCTGGGAGCGCACTTTCTGCCCAATGAAATGGCTCCGCCCTGAGCAGGGCTCCAGTCTGGAGTGCAGGAAGGGTCAGAGCTCGGACAGCCACCACTCCTCAGTGGGAAGTGTCAGAGTTCAACAGCCACCACTCCCCAGTGGGAGATGAGACGTGCGAGTGTCCACACACATGGGAAGGAGACAGGCCCAGTCCCCTGCGGACTTGCAGGGAAGTTCGACCTTCTACTCAGCAAAAGCCAGCTGGTCCAGAGGGCGTGTCTCCGTGGAAACGCCCCCGGAGGCCTGACCTCTCCATCTCACTGGTGGCCTGGGTAGAGGGACTGGTTGCACAGGCAGAGGGTCCTTCAGGGGCTATTAGACCTGTGAGCTCATCTGGTGTTCTCATTCCTCCAGCCAGCCACGTCCAAGGCCAGGCCTAGGCATCACCCTCTTGTGGAACCTCGTCTTTTTTTTTTTTTTTAATATATTTTATTGATCTTTCACAGATAGGGAGAATGAGTTAGAAACATCGATTAGAGAGAATCATTGATCAGCTGCCTCCTGCACACCCTCTACTGTGGATGTGCCCTCAACCAAAGTACATGCTCTTGACTGGAATCTAACCTGGGACCCTTCAGTCTGCAGGCTGATGCTCTATCCACTAGCCACACCCGTTAGGGCTGGAACCTCATCTTTAAGACTCCATCTTTGCATCCTGAGGTCTACACCACCCTAGCTGGCACAAGAAAGCACTTGCCATGGGGTCGCCAGCCCTTATCTGCAGGATAATAGGATTGTTCCAAGATCACCAGTGGACTCCTGAAGCCTATGCACACTGGTTTTGCCCACACCTACATACCTTTGCCCTTGAGGAGACACTTTATGGTTTCTCGGCATTTCTGAATTGGCAGCCTCTCTACCCTTGTGCTTGGGGCCATGAAATAAAGGAGGGTGCCCTGAGCACCTCACTGTGTCCCTCCACAGTCAATCTGGTAACTAAGAAGTTACCAGGTGTCTGTGGGCTGGGAGAACTGGACAAGGCCGTGACTCATGTCCCCAGGGGGGCAGAGCTAGACAGCACAAAGTCTTGTCACACTGAACACATCTAAACCTCAGTGCGAGATGGGCTGCTCATCTGGGGAATCGTCCACTGAGTATTCCAGACTGTGGTTGGCCGTGGGAACCTGAAAGCATGGAAAGCCACACCCAACGGGGAACTACTACACTGACCACCTCAATCGCTAGGTAACTGGAGTAACACCACACCCCTGAAAGGTATTTTAGGACAAATTAAAAACATGCACATGTAACTTTATTTATCATCGTCATTTAAAGCTTGATTTTCTAAAACACACAAAGACATTAAGAGTTCTGTATCAGCAGAATTCAAACAGGAGAAATGGCGACAGATTTGTAAGTGTAAATTATATACATTAAAGTCAGGAAATTGGGGTTTTTTCAATATGGAAACTACAAAGAAATGAATGACAGAAGGACTTGCTAAGAAGACTGTTACAGGGGCTGATCAGTTACTTTGAACTAAACACAGATTGTGACTATTCAGACTTCTCTTGCTGTTCCATGGTCACCTAGACTCGGAGTCTGGCTACTTGACCGGAAGTTCTGATTTAGGAAGGCATTTAGCTGAATAGCAAAGGTTTCTCATCTCCAGTTTCCACCTTCAGAGGAGCTGGCGTTCCAGTGCTGATGGGATCTGCTGGATCCTTGGAACAGTGCCAGCCCTATGGGAATCATGTCAACCCCACAGAAAGCCAAACAGGCACCCACAGATGGAACAGTACGAATACGCACAGCCCCTCCTCAAAGTTATCAATGAAACAGAACAAGAACTACAGCTGATGCGCTCTCGGGAAACACGTGTGGGATCCATTACTGGCTCCCTCAGTCGGTGACAGGGATCTTGTAGGCCACCATGCTGTTCACTTTGTGGATGGTCGTCGTGAAGGAACGCAGGCGGACTTGCTCGGAATTGGCAATGAACTGGGGTCCAGACTCTTCCCACTTTTCAGGGACAACCAAGTCTTTGTCTGTGTAGATCAGCAGGTCAAAGGAACCTACATTGGGGATAAGATCATTGAGGTGCATCGTAACCCTGCCCTGCCTGTGTCCACCTGAGTGATGGGCAGTGAGAGGACAGTGTGGCCTGGCCTCTCATCACCCACCAGGTTATCGCTCCTCAACGGAAATTTATTTCAGTGCAGAAAACACTGCATTCCTTACACGTTATCTCATGAAAAATTCAAGTTTTGTTTTTATAACAAGAAAACCATTATAAATATTTGCCAAGTGTCTCATCACAGGAAATGGCGTGTGGACTGCAGGACGTGCATGCTGCTCAGTGCTGCAGGAGCCAGGAGCTGTGCGGTGCGTGAAGGAGTCGCCCAGGAGAGCAGACATCACAGCTGTGGTCCTAATTACGTACACGAACGTGCAGAAAGCGAGAATGGTGACAGAAGTGACACCAGACTGCTGAATGCTTTCAGCCCTCTCCTATAGCATCTCCATTCCAGTTTTCTGGAATGCATCACAGGACTCTTGCTTTAGAATGCTTCCTTCCCCATTTACAGCACGTATGGACAGCTAAGAACATTTAATGAAGGGACAATTCTTAAAGCCACAGCTCAGTCCTCTTCAGCCTGCGAGGAGCTGTAATTACTTACAGGAAGCTTCTAGCAGCGGCAGGAAGGTCACGGTGGCCGTGATCTGTCTGATCACCGAGCGGATCTCGTCCTGGATGGCTTTCTGAGACTTCTCTCTGGGCGCACTGTCAAGGAAACCAAACCAACGCACTCATTTTCTAGTTGTAACACTATTTCAAACGTTGATAGGATGACTTACCTGGTGAAATGCTTCCAAGTCAATTAAGTCAACTTCAGGAAGTTCATTTTCCTTTAAATGAGTCTCAGTACATCCCGAGGACCTATCCTAGGGGCACCATGTATGTGCTATTTCATTTATCCTCCCCACTCATCTACTAGTATCAGAGGCGTAGCACATCTATCAGTGTTCCAGTTAGGAAACCACACGTCTGAAAAGTAAAGCAGCCCGGAGCGTTGAAAACGGGCTGGGTATAATCATCTGGCATTTTTAGTGATGCCTGATGCCTACTTCTCTACCGCCCCATAGTTCTTACGGCCAAATGGTCCCAAACAGACCAAAGGCTTCAGGAGCAAATGCGACTTCCCTGAGAAACGTGCTGAGCTCACAGCTAAGCCGCCCCAGGCAGTGCTGGACGCAGCAGCTCACAGCTGCGCTTCCCCCGGGTCTGGACACTTGGGCAATCCAGAGAGGACCAGGGCTGCCCCGGAACCTGGAGAGTCTAGTTCATTGGTCGGCAGACTCATTCATCCACAGAGCCAGATACCAACAGTACGACGGATTGAAATTCCTTTGGAGAGCCAAATTTTTTAAACTTAAACTTCATCTAGCACCACTTCGCCCAGGCCGGAGTATTTTGTGGAAGAGCCACACTCAAGGGGCCAAAGAGCCGCAGGTGTAGGATTATCCCTTTGGTTAAAAAATACCTTCAAACGTCCCTGAGTGGCCCACCTAGCAAACCATGTGCAGCTCTGCACGCTCCCCACAGACACTGCGGTCTGGGCTTCTCCTCCATAGACTGCAGGGAGCAGGTAACTACACTGTCTGCACAAACCAATGACTGCTCCCCTCAGCAAGCCTCTTCCCCAGGGCACTCACACAAAGCAACACGTTAGGAACAAAGTTTATCTTAAAGAAACTAATTCACTATAACCAGGACTCTTTTTCATAGAGAAAAGTTTCGGGAAAAGCAGACGAAGGTGGAAATAACTTTTTCACACCCACCTGTCCTCTCTGGCCGTCTTGTCGCACTCAATGTCAAACTGCCACCTTTCCAGGACCTCCCCGTCTTCGATGTTGGAGATGACCACCACCAGCTTCTGCACCGAGCACTTGTACAGCCAGTCTGCAACACGGGCAGCGGGTGCCCTGCGGTCAGAGACTCCTCCGGGCCACACGGACCCTGTGCCACAGCCTGGCCCGCTCCCCTCGGCTGTGCGGTGGGGACAGCGCAGGGGGCAGTGACCACGCGGCCCTCCCTCTCGTTCATGGCAAGGACACGGGATGGGTGCTGATGGGAGCATCGTACCAATCACCGCTGCTACCTGCCTGGAGGTGAGCTGCCCGGTGCAATGAGTGTAAAGCGGGAAGGAAGATGGACTGACTCCCGGAGCTCCATGGGGGAGGCTGGAGGCTGACCCCAAGAACCCACAGCAGCACCCAGCACAAGAGGAAAGAAGCACCGGGTCTTCCACTCCACAGGGAAGACAGAGGGAGGACTAGGGGAGGGTGAGCAGGCAGGCTGGCAGGTGGGCCAATCAAGACATGCCGCTTCCAGAACCCAGGCGGCACTGCTGCTAACACAGCGCGATGTCACCAGACTCCCATTTCTAATGTCTGGCTGTGATGCGGGGCGAGGACTGCAGGCAGAGAGGAACATGGCAGTAACACAGGCAGAGGTGGTCATGGCTTGCAGGGGAAGCTGGGAGACGGGGCAGTGAGAGGCCAGGGAGAGGTGGTTACACTACTAAGGAACTGGACTGCCTGCGAGCTAAGCAAGTGGTGCGAGCCAGGGCAGTTTCTGGTTGTATCTGGATGTGGAAGAGAAGCACTGAGGCCAGAGAACTGAATGGGGTGACCCTGCTTAGCTCCGTATGTGCCTCGGAAGCACGTGAGACCGGCCAACCGGGCACGTTCCATGGGGGCGGAGCCTGGGAGGGCACACAGGCTGCTAGCTGCTGTGCACAGGGTCCTCCAGCGCCTACAGTGAGAGGGGACTGAGACCGAGCCCTGAAGAAACCTTAGAGATTGGGAGTATATTCGGAAATCAACAGTATGTTTTTTAAAGAGGCAGAAAATGCCCTAGCTGGCTTGGTTCAGTGGATAAAGCATCAGCCTGCAGACTGAAGGGCCCTGGTTCCATCCCCAGTAGGGGGTGTGCAGGAGGCAGCCAATGATTCTCTCTTAGCATTGATGTTTCTATCTCTCTCTCCTTCTCCCTTGCTCTCTGAAATAAAAAATATTTTAAAAAAATAATAAAAACCCATTGCTAAAAAAAAAAAAAAAATAGACAGAAAACAATTTATATTTAAGGCTGTGGGTCACCTAGATCTCTGCTGCACATTCTTTTAAATATTTAAAATATCCTTAGCTTGCAGACAGTACAGAAAACAGGCCATATGCTGGAACTGGCCTCCTGGCCTTGCTGACCCTTGGCACAGACCAACAGCTCTATCCCGTTAGTTCTGAACAGGAGGTGGGATGGTAATGTGAAGGTTTGGGGGTTGGTCATTTTTTTCTCTTAAAATTGGAAATGACCCAAATTGAAACAAAGTCAAAGCACAAGTGAGAACAAAGAGAGTGGACGCTGGGGCGGGTGGTTTCAAACAGACTGAACAATTCACCTCTAAAAAGAATAAGTCCTCAGTTTTAACTAAAACAGAGACAGATGTTACACGGCAAGATCTAGAAATGTGAGATGAAATGTCATGGAGGCAGCTTAGCCATGGTTCGCTTCCCATCAAACCAAGGTGAAGACAAGATCCCAGCTGCCTCGGGCTTCCCGGGCAAACCATCTGGTGCAGCCCTGTGACAGGGTATGGTTAATGAAAATATGATGAGATTTAAAAAATAGACTTGAAACAAACAGAAAAATAGGATTGTGGATTTAAAAACTGACAAAATGATCAGCCCTTTCTGGAGCACATCTGGGCAGATGAGGAGAAACATCCCACAACTCAGAAGACAAGGAAGTGAGAATCTCAAGTGGAAAGAAACAGGGCAGAGGAACGAATCGAAGTACAAAGGAAGGAAAGACAGAGGGGAAACAGGGATTGCTCCACAACACAGGAGCTTCTGGAGCTAAAGAAAAGAACGAACTGTTTAAACTCAGGCTGGGTTCTTTTAAGAAGACAAATGGAAACAGGTGAAAAATAAGAACACAATACTGTGTGTTCTATTACTTAGTAGTTCTTTTTCTTCTTTATTTCTTTGTAGTTCTAGTTCTCACATTGAATGCAATTTTATTTCCTTGATCTTAATAATGATGGCTTTAGCCTCCATGCAAGTACAGGAAATACATCTGTAAGAATATATAGTGATTTTTTCCCCCCACAGATAATAAAATCCACCATAATTATGTACAACTCAACTGGTTCCATTTGGCCACACAAATGGCAAAAGTCATTTTTTTAAGGGAGATGATGGAGGCGGTTTTGTTACACCATTAGTCGGATTCCTAATATCAATTGTGCCATTTGCTTCCGCAGAATGGGAGAGTCACTATGTTTGAGGCGGTAGCTTGTTTTACACCTGATTTACTACAGAGCTGACAAACGACCACAGAGTGGCTAGAACACGGGCTCTGGAAGGCCTGCCCAAGGCTCCCACCTTTCAGCTGCTCCACCACGTTGCTCAGGTACTGCATGAGCGCGGGGTCCGTGGTGACCAGCAGGGTGAGGCCGTACTTCTGCACGCGGGTGAAGGTCTCGGACGGGTAGATGCCGCGCTGATACAGAATGCTGTTGATGCCAAACGCTGGAAGCAGAAGAGATGCTGAATGCCACCACTTCCTAACAGCGGCACATTAGACATTGAGGTTTCGCTGACAGCATTCAGCTGTCAATGTCTACACACACGTGTCCGTGTGTCTTGCTGAAAGCAGAGTGAGTATAAAGTGCCTCAAACATCCTCAAAATCTTGCTTCTAAGGGAGAGAGATACCTGTATTTCTTTCTCTCTTTTAAAATTTCTTTATTGATTATGGTTTCACATAATTGTCCTCATCCCCCCATTCCCATCCCAAACCCCTCCCCATCTGTTGTCATGACCTCTGGTTAGGCTCACATGCATGCACACACGCCCTTTGGTTGACCTCTCCCCTTTGCCCCCACCCTCCCTACCTTCCCTCTGAGGCCTGACCAGGGGCGCCGCCTCCCTGGGCCAAACTTCATCCCAGGCAATGCGAGCCCAACTCCCAGCACGTGTCAGCGGTGTCACCGCGGGGGCGCCCCAGCAGCCCCATCCCTCCCTTCCTCCCCCGCCTCCTCTTTTAATGTGACTCTGAAGCCCCTGAGGCCTCCCTCCCTCCCTCCTTCCAGCCCGGCCCCACCGGAGGCCCACCTCCGAGGGGCGCCTCCCCAGCGCCGCTCCCTCCGGCCCGAGCCGCCTGGCGGGCGCCGAGGCCTGGCCCTCCGGCTGCCCGCCGCTGGGTGGGCTCCCCGGCGCTCCGGAGGGGCCGAGGCCTGCGGGCCCCGGCGGCACCGGCCGCCCTGCACCTCCCGGCGAGCCTGCCGCCGCGCCGAGGCCCAGGCCCGGGCCCCCCGCCGCCCTCCCCCCGACCCCGCCCGCCCTCCCTCCGCGCCGAGGCCCAGGCCCGGGCCGCCCGCCGCCCGCCGCTCACAGAAGAACTCGGCCACGATGTCGGCGCTGCCGCGCAGGGTGATGCCCTGCTCCCGGGCCAGCTGCCGCGCCATGGCGAGCCCAGCCGGCGCCCCGCTCCAGGTCCCGCGGAGTGCGGCCCGCGGCTCCCGCCACTCGTTCAAATGTAACGACGCGGCGCGCCCGCCTCTGCGCAGGCGCCCTGGGCCCGCCCGCCCCAGCCCCGCCCCGCGGAGGGCGTCACGCAGGCGCAGAGGACTCGGCCGGCGCTTCCGGGTTGTCCGCTGAGGGGAGGAGCCAGGCTCCGCGGGTCCTGGCTGCTGGGCGGGGCCGAGATGGGGGCGGGGCCTGGAAGGGCGGGGCGGGGCCTGGGACGGCCGGCCTGTGCAGAGGCCGCTCTCTAAGCTGGCGGCCCGGCTGCAATGAGCACAGCCGGTGGCAGAGGTTCTCAGGGCCCCCAGCTGCGCCCAGGTGTCCCCAGTGTGGCCTCCAGGAGGGGAGGTGCGTGTGGCCGCGGGGCCACGCCTTGGGCTGCTTTCCCGGAGCAGAGAAGCAGGCCTGGCGGGGGAAGGGGAGGGGAGAGGGGAGACCCCGGCCTCATGGAGAGGCCTCCTGGGCCCCCAGCAGAGGCCATGCAGCCCCGGAGGAACTGCCGGGGTGGGAGCAGGGTCAGGGACTCCCCTTGCACGGCTCACTGGGAACCTAGTTTGCCCTGAAAGCGGCTGCGAAGGCTGTCTGGCTGTTCGTAAAGGGGTCTGAGAACCCCGCACGGGCTGTGGTGCTGAACCCCGGAGCTGGTCCTGCAGGCCCGAGTCTCATCCCACGTGGGTGGCGGAATTGGAGCTGTGGTTCCTGCACGGAGGCCCTCGCCTTCTCTCTGTTGGTCAGAGGCCGCCTCGTACCTGGCCCAGGTGGCAGCCCTTCCGGAGGCCTGGGCGTCTGTGAGCCTCTGCTCGCCTGGTGAGTCAGAGGTCAGCCCCCTCAGGTTTTCCCTTGCTGACCCTGGCCCTGGAGGGCACGTGGGGTGCACAGGCTCTGGCAGCTCAAGGGGACATGCCCTCCGGGTCCAGGGCCACCAGTGTGGGACCATCTTAGAATTCTGTCTGAAACGATGGCAGATGCCAGACTGATCAGTTCCAGAGTGAAATAGCTCACGGACCCAGTACAGTGTGTCTTACATGCTCCAGTCGCAGCACTTCCAGGAGACTTCCTGGGTCTCATGGTGGCACTAGAGGCCCGGGCAGGGATTTGTGCACTGGTGGGGCCGCTTTGCCTGGCCTGGGGGGACTGGGCCAAAGCCAGCTCTCCCACATCCCTGAGGGGTCCTGGATTGCCAGAGGACAATCCATGGTTCATGATTGGAGTGCACGGGACTGAGGGAGGACTCCAGGGCAGGCCCAGTTCTTCTTGCCCAGTCCAATGGGCCGGACCCCAGCAGCAAGCTAATCTATCAGTCAGAGTGTCTGCCCCCTGATGGTCAGTGTGCATCATTGCAATTGGTCTAATTGTGGAGCCAAGGGTTGGACACTTAGCATATTGGGCTTTTATTATACAGGACTAGAGGCCCGGTGCACGAAATTCATGCACAGGGTGTGTGTGTGGGGTGTCCCCTCAGCCCAGCCTGCACCCTCTCCAATCTGGGCCCCCTTGGGGGATGTCTGACTGCTGGTTTAAGTCCGATAACCGGCAGTCAGACATCCCTCTCACAATCCTGGACCACTGGCTCCTAATCGCACAACTGTCTGCCTGGTCGCCCCGAACTGCTCCCCCCCCTTCCCCACTGGCCTGATAACCCCTCACTGCGTCTGCGTGCAGGCCTGATTGCCCCTAACCTCCCCCTGCTGCTGGCCAGATTGCCTCCAACTACTGCCCCCTCCCTGCTGGCCTGGTTGCTCCTAACTGCTCCCCCCTCTCCCCCCCCCCCCCCCACGCCTAACCTGGTCGCTCTCAACTTCCTCCTTGGCCAGCCTTGTCTCCTGCCAGCCTGGTTTCCCCTAACTGCTCCCCTCCGCCCCCTCCTCCCCCCACCCCCCCCCCCACACACACACTGACCTGCTTGTTCAGTCATTTGGTCATCCCTCATAACCTTGCCAGCCTGGTCATAGGCAGCCATCTTGTGAGGGTGGGATGGTCTATTTGCATATTACCTCTTTATTATATAGGATAGTTTGTGATTGATCTGAAGATGCAAATAACTGTTAGTGCAGCTTGCAGATTCTAGAATTTAAAATCCTAGCAAAATACATGTGTTTTTTATATACTTGGTGTACCAGTTAATGTAGACTTTTTTCAAAAGATGAAGTTACACATATATTGATATATGCAATTTGATATATAAGCTATTTTGTTGTATTACAGCAAGCTTCAAAACTTCATATGTAAAATTTGCTGAAGGTGTTAACATCATAAGTATTTTTTATGCTTAAAAAGTCAAATTTTGTGCCAAAAAAAGAGCATTTGTGAGAAATTTTAATTCATTACTTTATTTTGAAGAAAAAATATTGTATATTTCGGATAGCTTATGGTGAACATGCTCCATCTTAAGATACTTTTAAATGCTGATTTAAATGCTTTAAAAGTGATGATTTTGATGTGAAAGACAAAGAACATCCAGGTCAGCCAAAAAAAATTTGAAGAGCAACATGTCAAGCATTATTGGATGAAGATGTGTGTCAAACTCACAACTTGCAGAAAGATTAAATGTTGCTCAGAAAACAATTTTCAATCGTTTACAAGCGATGGGAAAGATTTTAAAATGGTGCCAGATCAACTGAATGAAAGACAAATGGAAAACCAAAAAGTCATCAGTACAATGTTGCTTAATGGCATGAAAAAAAGTCTTTTGCATTGAATTGTGACTGGCGATGAAAAGTGAATTTATTTTGAGAATCTCAAATGCACAAATCATGGGTTGATCCAGGTGAAACATCAACATCGACTGCAAGGCCAAATCACTTCAGGAAGAAAACACTGCTCTCAGTTGGATGGGATCAGGAAGGTGTGGTGTATTATGAGCTTCTAAAACCAGGTGCAACCATTAATACTGATCGCTACTGACAACAAATAATCAATTTGAACCATGCTTTGATTGTGAAATGACCAAAATGTGCCAGAAGACATGGCAAAGTAATGATGATGCACCATCACATACTTCAAAACCAGTTGAAGACACGTTAAAAGATCTTGCCTGGAGAGTAAGTACCCACCCACCATATTCACCAGACCCTGCTCCTTCAGATGACCACGTGTTCCGATCGATGGCACACACACTGTCTGAGCAGCACTTCAAACATATGAAGAAGTGGAAACTTGGGTCTCTAAATGGTTTGCTTCAAAACAAGAACAGTTCTATTGGGATGGTACCCACAAATTACCTGAAAGATGGGGAAATGTGTAGCTAGTGGTGGACATTGCTTTGAATGAAGCACTTTTGATGTTTCTCATGAAATTATTGTGTTTTCTTTGGTTACAAAATCTGCCATTATTAACCGGTACACCTATTAGAAGGAAGTAAGCATTAAGTACTTGGTGCTTTATGAGACAATGAAAGAGATCAGTAAGGTTTAGAAGGCACACACTTTTTGAGAAATGTATAAATATGCACTCCTAAACAAACAAACCAAAAACATGGGAGGCTCACAGATTTGGGCCTGTCTCCCATCTTCCCAGACAGCCTCCTTAAGATGCTCTCCTACCTGCATGCTCCTCACCGCTTTTCATAACGTGTTCTCCTCTGCCAGGAATTTCATTTCATTTGCTCCAATTCTTACTTCATTTATAATATACTCCTTTTTAGTTCAATGTTAGTGCATTAAAGGATTTTTCTTTGACCCTTCACACTACAAGGTCCCGTTCTTCCATCTCTTGGTGCTGTTTCAGAGCATTGCTTTCACGCTCACAGCTGTGTTGTTACAATCACGGGTTGACTGGTGTCATAGCTTCCCTGTTTTGGTGGAGGATCCGTGATAACACTTAGTGGGCACTCCACAAATATCTGTTGAATGAGTGAGCATTTGCATGTTTGCCCAGGAAATCTTCATGGAGGAACCCAACACATTTCCAATTGGATAGCAAGTGAATGGGTAAGTGAGGGCACTTTTAGGGAAATTTGAACACCCATCTGAGTTGATCAAACTGGGAGTACCAAGGATTTCTAGGTTCTGAGGATTGACATAATTAAAGTGGTGTTTTGTTTTTTTCCCCCCAATGCAAATTCAGTAGTAGTTGTAGAATGGATTGCATATAGAACAGTCTAGATTGGGTGTTTTGCTAAGAATATAGAATCTTGGCTTCTGTACCCCTTCTGGCAGTGTGGTGCAGCCAGGATGGTAGGCACTGGTCACAGGGGCATCTTAGGCACTGGAATGTGCTGGTCTTCATTGAGATATGCTACATGCATAAAACAACAAAATTTCAAAAGTAGGTATAAAAAATAAAGTATCACAGATGTGTCTTTTAAACAATTACTTATCCTAAATAATAAAAGCCTAATATGCTGTGTCCAGTTATCCATTCAACCAATCAAAGCATAATATGCTAATGATATGCTAAGGCTACTCAACTTCTCACTATGACAGGCACTGACCACCAGGGGGCAGATGCTCTGACTGGTAGGTTAGCTTGCTGCTGGGGTCTGGTGAATGGTGACTGAGCACGACTGGCCAGACTTGCCCTGGAGCTCTACCCCGTCCCTCCCTGTCCCTGATCATGCACTAATGGGGTCCCTTGGCCTGGCCTGTACCTTCTTGCAATCTGGGACTCCTCAGGAGATGTTAGAAAGCTGGTTTTGGCTGGTCCCACAGGCCAGGCCAAGGGACCCAACTGGTGCACGAATTTGTGCACTGGGCCTCTAGTTGAAATTATATTTATCATACATTGTAGTAAATAAAAATGTATTGTCAAAATGATTTCACTTGCTTCTCTTCTGTTTTTAAGCTAACTACCAGAACATTACAATTATGTATGTGGCACATGTTGCATTTCTGTTGGACAGTGCTGGTCTCCTTTATGGGCACTCAGGGAAGACATTTTCACCAGCATCCCTGCAGAGTCCAAGGCAAGTCCTTAACTCTCCCTGTGAGAAGACTGACGGGTA